CCTGGGCTCAAGTGATCTTCCTGCCTCAACTTCCGAAAGTGTTGGAATTACAGTTGTGACCACTGTGCCTGGCTAAGTTCCAATTTCTTAGTACAGCACAAAATGCTCCTCATGATCTTCTTCATCTCTGACCCTCTGAAGAGCTTGAGTTTTGAACATTAACTGTACTTCAGGGAATGTAACCAGCATCTCAGGCCTTCATGCTCCGAGCGTGCTCTTGCTTTCCTGTTGTCTTGAGATACCTCATCGGCTGTGAACATCTGGCTCAAGTGCCATCATTTCTGTAAAATCTTCCCTGAGGTTTTCTCACACAGTCCAGAGCCATTTCCTCCCACCATTACATCTTACATTGTTCTAGAATACTTTACTTATTTATCACCTCCTTAGGATCTTCATTTTTCTTTGTATCCTTGGCATCTGACACAGAGCCTGTCCCAGTGCTTATTGAAAGTCATTAAATGTTTATTGAAAGAAAGATGGGCTTAAATGCCACATCCTTGTCCAACACACCAAGGCAGGCACGTTCATTCTCAGACAACCTCTAGGTAAAACCCCATAGGTGTCTCATAATACACACATTGCATACAGCACTTATGCACACAGTCCTCTTCGCAATGTGTTAGTGCTTCCTTTCTACCTGTTTCATCACATTTGTGTGCAGATTTCTGGGGCTGCATTAGCTATCCTTCTCCTATCATATTTTCTCATTTTCCCTAGAAGATTCCGTGAAACTAATAATAATATCTCTTTTTAAAATATGAGTAACTTCCAAAGCTTTCAATGCTTCACTTTCTAAAATGCAACTACACTATTAGAGCTGCAACCCACTGTGCATTTCTCATGGTTTAATTTGTCATTCTAAGTTTTAGAATTTGAAAAATTAAATATTTTTGTTTCAACATTCATATAAGACCTCTCTTATAGAATTCCTCAATAAAAATGACAACAATAATAATAGCTTTTATTTATTCACCACTTCCTTCAGGACCAGATATATACTCTACATAAATTTTCATCTTGTATTTATCTAATTTAAGTACAAAACTAACTTTAGTGAGATAAAATAATTTTTCTCTTCCACCTAAGGTGTGTGTATATATATATATACACATATATACATATATATATATATAAAATATTTATTTATTGAGACGGTCTCACTCTGTTGCCCAGGCTGGAGTACAGTGGTGAGATCTTGGTTCACTGCAGTCTCCACCTCCCGGATTCAAGCAATTCTCCTGCCTCAGCCTCCCAAGTAGCTGGGAC